TGCCGGTAAAAATATCAGAGAATCCCTAATAGATAACGAACTGGCAACTTTGAAAAGGATTATAAGTTTATAATATTGTATCCAAGTTTCTCAAAGTGCTTGAACGAATATTCATCCAAAGAGCGTATTAATCAATTTCAATAGGTTAATTTATGTTATGTTAATTTGCTATAAATTGGAACGATCCTTGTGTTGTCATCAAGAACATATCATATATATAGTAACTTACCTCAAAGCCTTAACGTCCGCTTTCTCAACTCAACGTCTAAAAATCACCAAATAATTGGTGATCATATTGTTTTTTATTTTATATCATAACGTTCATTTTGCCCTCAGATTCCCGTCATAAGTGGGGTTTATGTTCAGTTTTGTTTACCAAATCACCGTGAAAAAAAATAGAAATCATCTCGATATCTTTTATCGCTTGCTCTTCAATTTAAATTAAAAACCAAAGCTTTTATTTGATCAGGCCCTGTATTCATACCGATATTCCGCAGGTCCACCCTGACTTCGACTCTGTCCTTGTTTAGACGCTTACATGGAATTGCCGAGAGAGCAAAGTAACTAATTGTACCTCAATACTAAATACAAAGTGACTGTTTATACACCGCGGCAATAGCGGTCGGTATCCAAGCGGCGGTCATAAAGAGACTATTAATAGACGATCGGTCGGTAAGGTGTTAATTATAACAGTGTTAACCGATCAATCAGAAAAATTTTTTACCATTTATTACAGTATTTGTACAAAGTTCTAAATCAATCATCACTACTACCTGTTAATTATTGATTTTCGCTTACCCGTGGACATGAGACAATATTGAGGATGTTATATCCATTTTTTCCACCATAAGGTGGGCAGACCTATCGGCATTGCCCCTTGAAATCTTACTCTTATATGTGCTATTGATCACACCAATGCAAACGTACTGATAGGCTTAAATCCATTCAGAGAATGATTGCGAATTGATCGGTATGAAATAAGGGGCGGATCTATCTCTATTCCTTCGGGGTGTTACATACGTCCACATAAACCTGTACCACATGTGGTCTAGGATATGGATAGGGTAGTGTATATATACATATGTATGTACGATATTGTTTACTATTATTATTACTATTATTATTAATATAGCCAGAGAAGTAAGTTCTAATAAGAAAGCAGTGAAGCCTGTTAACTTTACTGAAAAGACTGTTTAAAAAATCATCATGCATTATCAGGATATTTTGCTTTCTTCTCCCTGTGGATATGCTTTAGGAAACCAATTTTGTCCTCGAGAGAATTTTCATTCGACTTTTCGAATAGTGTTCAACTGGATCTATACGACGTCGATAGCCATAAATGATTTGAAATCATTAACTTATTTAGGGTAAGTAAAACTGTCAAGCAAAGGAGTTTTACGCTAAATGTTAAACTCCAAAAGCTTAGAGAGGCCAGAAAATTTCGATCTTTCGACCCTTTCGAGAGTCTACACGACATCGGTAGCCATAAACCAATCGCTAATTACAAATCATTAACTTATTTAGGGTAAAGTCAAGCAAAGAAGTTTCAGGCTAAGCGCTAAAATTTCGCACCTCTTGTATCATTGCTTGATTTAATGATAGTTAGGCGGCTTTCAGTTTATTTTTTCTTATTTAACACTTACATATTCGATTTTCGATAGTTTGCATAAATTCATAAAAAATTCACAACTGACTTCTTTCTTTTTTTTTTTTTTTTTTGGTTGTTTGTATTTTTATTAATTTTCTTAAACCCACTCTTTTCCCACATTTCACTTTAACTTTTATTTATTTATTTTTTTTTTTTAATTTTTTTAATTATTTTGGTTTTCTTTTTTATTTATTTATAAGTTCTTCGCTACTTAATTACTTAAATTAATTACTATCTCGTGTAATTTGTTTTCTTTTTTTTCTTTTTTTTTATATTTTGTTATTGTTTTATTTATTTAGTAGCTTCTGGCGTGTGGCTTATTAAATGACTGACTTTTGCTTATGTTTGTCTCATTTCTTGTTTTAGTTTTTTTTTTTTTTTATGTATATAAATTATTTCTTTTTCCTTATTTATGTTTTTCTTGGTTTCTTTAATTATAAAATATTCTTGCCTAAATTATAATAATGGAAATGAATTTTTGTTTTTTTTTTTTAGTTTTATTTTAAAGTTTTATACAATGAAATAAATTTCTTCATTTTATTTAAAGTTTAATATGCATTATAGGTTTGTTGTTTTCCTTCTTATTTTTTTTTTTTTGTGTGTATTTAAGTAACGAGTTTTTTTTTACAAAGTACGTCTCGGCATTGTTTTTTTTTTTTTTCTTGCAAGTATACTCATTACGGGAGGTGAAGCTAATCCCTTGTATTATTAAATTAATAAAAAAATGGAAATTCGAAAAATATAAACATTTTGGATTTAATATCTTCGTTTAGCCAAAAGGAATATGGAATTCTATTGCCCTGTTCCCGGTTGTTTAATGCGTATTTCCATTTACGTTACAATTCCGAGTTAACAGATATAAGTAAGATTACTGTTACACTGCGTAATAATTGTGATAAACTTTCTCGGAAACAAGTAAAAACAGCCCCCTGCTGAATACTCTACACCACCACTTCGTGTAATGCAGCCTTTCGGGAGATGGTTGAAAAGGTGTTCCAATCCGAATTATTTTCAATAGCTTTCGTCGTTTGGCCATTACACGTTGATGTAGTAAATTTCATTAAAATGTCTCAAATGTAAATTGAATACAAAAAAACAAAGGCTGATGGATTGACAGACAAGAGTAGACCGGTAAAATAAAAAACTAGTCAATCTTAAAACCTTCTGGGTTTCTTCTGGTTTCATACACCCGCACACACTGAAGTGGCATTGGGTATAACAAATAGAAAAAAACACTTTGAAAAGGAAAATCTGAATGTTTGTTTATGTTTATGCAACGTTTTAGATAAATTTTGTTTCTCACCCGACAACGTTAACTCTGAGGCACTTCCTCATCCTCATCGACCGTCTTTGTTGTTTTCCTGCGCAAAATGTTAGAATACCTGTGACAGAAATAAATGGACGGACGGACATATTTGTCTACATCGATTAATGGCATTCATGTTTCATATTTGTAGGCAATAAAAAGCAATTTTCGTATACATTTCGGCGTGGTAAATGCTCGGAGTCAAATCGGAGTTAAATTTCTAATGATTTTTGAAAACTACACTTCAAAACTGTAAACAATTATCCACCCGCATAACTATTCCATCCAAACGAAGATGACGTCGTGGAGAGAAAAGTGGAGATATGGATCATTTTGAAACTTGAGCTGGTCACTTCGAGGCCGAAATTTGAGACTGGACGAATAGACGGACTTAAAGAGAATCGACCGATCTCACTAATCGAATATAAACATATAAATATGTAATCTTTATCGCGTAAAAAAATGAAAAATTTGCAATGAAAAGTAGATAATATCCATGTTTCATCCCAATGAAGCATAGATTTGCTTACTTGATAATGTTTAAGGCGAAGAAGATTTCTTTTTTTTGTTAAAAAAAAACTAAAATTGCAAATTTTGTGGGATCTTTGGAAAGAGATCGTATTAATGAGCATAGTAAATTCTGGAACAACTATTTTTGCAAATTCATTTAAATTCTATTTTTAATTTTTATATATATTAAGCACTTATTTGTAGATTATAAAAATGTTAAATTAATTTCATTATTATTTTTTATATATATATTTTTTTTCATTAAATTACATACAATAGGTATTCGAATATAAGCTTTTTATGCCCATCTCTTCACTTTTGTCCATAATACATATATATATATATATATACATATATATACATATATATATATATATAAATATGTCATTATTATTATTATTAGTATTTTATTATTATTATCTTACTATTATATCATGTTATTATTATTATTATTATAATTATTATTGTTAATGCGTAATTTTCACTAAGTACAAGTAAATGAATAACTAAATTTGTCTTGGAAAAATAAAAAAAAAAACAAGCTTTTTAGTTTTAAATTAATTACTTTCGTTTTTTTTTTTTTTGAGTTAATATTAATGTCTTTTGTCGTTAATAATTTATTATTTATTTAAATGTATAAATTATTGCTACTAATATATATATATATATATATATATATATATACATATATATACATACACATATATATACATATACATACATATACATATATATATATATATATATATATATATAACTAGAAATAGAATTGGAAAGAGCTTTTAGAGTTGTTTTTCAGATATTCTTGTTTTTCTTTTTTTTGTTTAGGTTTAGATTTAAAGTTTAAAAAGAATTGCTTTAGTTTAACAGTTTTTCTTTTGTTTTTTTTTTTTTTTTTTTCTTTATTATATATATATCAAAAGCTTAATTTTCACATTTTGTTGTTGTGAATTGAAGAGTGAAGAGATGAATGAAATTTGAAGCATTAATGAAAAATTATTCTACACTTGGTTTCGGGTCGGCTAAAACCGACTTGTAATAAAAAATAATTTTTCTTTTAATTTTATAATGCTTTTTCATAAAAACTTATTTCGGTCTTTTTTTTTTTTTTTTTTTTGGTATGTTTTGTGAATTTGTTTATCTACAATTGTTCAATTATTATTATTATTTTTTTTTTTTAGTTTTTCTATAGCAATTTAACCCAACTCCTAAAGAATGGTCACAATATTTCTTTTGTTTTTATTGGTAATAACATAATTTTTTTAACAGATACTAGAAACACTTCATTGTTGTTGTTGTCATTATTATTCTTTTAACTGTAATTATTCATTATTTGTGTAAATTTTTCTCATATATTTTGAATCATATACATACGTGTATATATATAAAAAAAAAAAACAAAAATAACAAATTTCTTTTCCAACAAAGAAAAGAAGAAGGAAAAATTCTTATCAGAGGCATTAAATTAAAAATAATTAAAAAACAAAAAAGAAACAACAAAAACAAAATGAATCTTAAAACACATAAACAAACCATATATTAGTTCTTAATTATTTGTCAAAGTTCAAAAATAAATAAAAAAAAAAAAAGAAAAAGAAAAGCAAACACGCGAAGATTAGTAGCAAATTGTAAGCCTGTGTATAACGTACGCCATACAGTGAGCTCACTTACTCATACGCATACAAAAGAATATTACAAAAATGGTATTAGACGTAAAAATTTGGTAATATATTGTAAAAATGCCGTCCATAAGGCATTCAAGCGTTTCGAACGTTTCATTAAGAAACGCCATGTGCACATGACTACCACCAGTTTCGACAATAGATGCAAATAATATAATCTAAAACGTTTAAAAGAAAAGAATTTTAAATATTCTTGAGAGATTCTTTCTCACTTACCTAGTCATGCGTTTTCGACTAGCGGGCAATGATTCCGGCCTTTGCTTAAAAAGAAATTGTCTCAAGCCTAAGACATATTGCTCCACATATTTCAGCCAATCGATATTAGTTACATCAAATAAAAAGTTATTGCGATCTTTTGGACTTAAGGTATGGAACAATGCGTGCACGTTATCGTCTTTGAATTCCCATTGATTTACCGCAAAATAATTTAAGCATTCGACGGCTTTATAAAGTTTATGTTGGATTTTCACAACACTAAGTGAGAATTCAAAAAAGATAGAAATATATATTTAGGTGGTGCACAAGTACAGAAAAATGAGTCGCCCCTTCATCGTTCATTTCCTTTCAGATTTTGTCATAATTCTGTCTACTTTTAATTTTCAAACTTTCGATCTACTATACTAGCATCAGTAGCATCAACTTGCAACGAATTATTATGAAAAACGTATATCTTGTCATCAAGAAGCAAATGCCGCAATTTTGATATTCATCTTAAAAACAACAACCGCACATGATCTTTGATAAGCGAAGCGAAAGTTCGACAAGAGGGCGACCCGTTACTTTTTACTCCGCTCTACTTACAATGGCTTTTTACCCATAAGACGTGCCAAAGCATCTAGTAAATAGGCCGGTATATAATGTACAAAAATTCCATATATAGTATTTAAGGTAGTACTCCTACGCAGTACGCCTGACGGATACCAAACACAACTTTCTGTTAAAGCAAAAAAAAAAAAAAAAAAAAAATAGGAGAAAACAAATATTTTAAATTACTGTTATCGTTATTGTTTTATTATTCATTTCTACTTACCCAACGGATGCTTGCGCACCATTGATAATGTATGGTTAACAAATTCACCCCATTTTATGGGATGTCGTTGTCCAGTACAACAATTGTAAATGGAAAAGTTATCAGTTTTATGGGTTGCTTTGCGCCATGCAGCCGCAATCATTAAATTAATCACAATATCTACAGGTACCACATCGGCTACATAATTTGGTTCGCATACTATTGACCGAAATAAACCTTTAGCTAAGGCAGACAATAAACCAGTTGGACCATTAAAATTATCAATCCAGCCAGCAAGAGGTTCATTTAAACTGGCAATTACTATGAAATGAAATGAAAAAAAAAAAAAATATATATATATGGAAAACTTAAAGCAAAAAAGCGAAAAAGGAAATCAATTGTATAACACTATACCTATGGATGGCCTCACTATGGCTACTGGTAGATTACCGGCTTCTTTTAGTAGCATATGTTCCGCTAAGGCTTTTGTAAAGGTGTAGGTATTGGGACGTTTACCAATAAGCGAGGGTGTAAGCTACAAAATAAAGAATTAAATCGTTTTCAATATTTTTTCAAAACTATTTTCTATATTTTACGCAAAGCGGAAAAGGATCTAGCACTTTTGCAGAGTAATAAACATTCACGCATTTTTATTAAGACGGTTAGATTTAGCAAAAAGTCGATTTGGTCTTACAGCGTCTGTCCGTACGTCCGTTTCAAACTGTTTACCTGATCAAGCATGTCTTCAGGAAGCCAATTGATTAAAGAAATGATATCATCGGGATTGTACGGCGGTGCATATATAACTTCTTGAACATCGGTTCTATCGCAATTGCAATAGGCAGTGGAGACATGTATAAGCGCCTGTAATTGTGATAACTCGAATTGAATCAATTATTCATTGAAATTAATTGAATGAAAACTTACTTCTAAGAACATCATACGATGGCATAATTCCACCAAACGTTTTGTCCCAAGCATATTAATTGTAACTGATAATTTGAGCTTTTCATCGAACTTAACTGTGGCAGCTGAATGGAATACAATCGATACAGTGCGACATAGTAAAGCCTTAAAAGAATTTTAGAATACAAATAAGTCTTTTTGCTTTTAGTTTTATTTTTAGTTTATTTTTATTTATTTTTTTTTTTTTTTTTGTTATACCTGATCACTTTCGGATATGCCCAATTGCTCGGACGTTATATCACCTCCTATAGGTATAACTTTACATAATTCTTTAGGATTTTCTCTTCCCAATTTTTCGAACAGCTACGGCAGAACGCAAAAATCAAAAATAAATTGAAAAGTTGAAAAATAAGTTTTAAAAAATTACATCCAAACCTACCGGCGCATTTAACATTTCATTTAAACGATCCGATACATCTTGTCCACGTTTAGGTCGTATCAATAAATAAATATTTTTTATATCTGGACAAGAGCGTAATAATTTTTCAACCAGTACCTAAAAAAGATATGAAAGAAAGAAAAGCTTAGCAGGTTATACTTTATCAAAAAATGAACAGAGGCAAGTGACAACTTTGCGGAGGGCCACTGTCCACCGTTAAGTGCCCTGTACCACTTCGCTTAATATAACGACTTCCTAAAACGATTTTTCATAATAAGACTTTATACAATAAGTAGTTGAAAAAGCGGTCCGATCCGAACCATTTTCAATAGCGAGTTCTTAGATCCAAACACGTCGGTGTGTCAAATTTAATTAAAATATCTCAAAAAATTCGATCCAATAATACAAGACGGACGCAGGGACAAGATTATGTCGACTCAGAAACTGATTTTGAACCGATCAGTACGATAAAAGGCGGGTCTCCTAAATTACACGGACAGATATCAGGGAAATAAACGGGCAGACAGGCTGAGATCGAGTCAGAAAATAATTCTGACTCAGTCGGCATAATAAAGGGTGGATCCTTCTTAAGTTTTTCTAGGCTCTGCATACATCCGCAAGCAATTGATATACTCTTCGAGCACAAGTGGTGTAGGATGTAAATATTGTTAGCTTTCAGATAATTAAGGTAATAGCTTCAAAAGCTTACAATGCACACCAGTTTATTCGCTTATTTCAATTGCGCCAGTGAAGTGATCAGTAAAAAATTTCGATTTCTCGCCACTTGTCTTAATTCACTACATATGCACAAATTGAATTTCCTAATTCTCAGGAAATTTGGCAGGCAAAGTCCTAATAAGAGTTGCGAGGACCAAAGTCATAAAGTGACTCTGCGTAGGAATTTCATATAAGGGAATATGATAGGCTAATTGTAGTAGGAATATTTTGCTTTGAATATAAGATTCGTCTCGAGTGTACAAAATAATGCCTGGAACAATAATTTCTGAAAGTACTTTACAAAATTTGATTTTATTCATCAAAGTCGCGTTCTTCAAAAATGATACAATTACACCAACGGTCTCTTGACATTTTAATGTCTTTTCTTTTGAGAAGGCTTGTCAGGACACTCAACACACATTTCACCTTTCGAAATGACCTCATCATTTGATGTAAATTTTTTCCCAACAACATTGTTTCGAAATTTATGCCCCTGTAAATAAACGTGGAGAACATTCCTCTCGTGCAAAACAGTGAATAAGGCTAACCTTTGATACCTTTAAAATGTGAACCATCCTTACTATACAATTGTAGAGAATAATTTTCGGTAATGTTTTGACGTTTTCCATGATAATCGTTTTCTTTTGTACGTCCCACGTGTTCAACTGATTCACGTGTTCAGCTGATTTACCCGTCAGTCAACAGGTGAACTTTAGCATATGAAATCTTCTTTGCTTAGTGCCATTAGTTCTGGTAATTATTGACCGATGTGTTACAATAAATATTTTTGAACATAAACGTAAATTAATCGCTTCCATTATTACATTCATAATTCCGTTGATTCGTAAAGTTTTGTAACATTGTTGTGAAGTAAAATTCAGATCATTAATGTGATTAACTTTCATTGCACATATGAAATTTTATTGCACCCTTCTGGGTACATAAATGCTTTAGTGGCACTTAATACCAAGAGACCAGATAAAATGAATAAAAAAAAATAAATAAATAAAATAAATTACTTGTTATTTTTACAGCCACCCACACCTATAGCAAGGTATTCCCCCTTTGATAGACGAAAGTAATGTCCTTAATGACAATGCCAGTTAAATGTTTGCTATCGAATAGAAATCTATAATTTTCGAATAGATGACGCCGCAAAGACTGTAATTATGCGAACATTAGAGTAGCTCTTAATGAGAAAACAACGCAAAAAAAAGTTACAAAGATTGAATTTAATAACATTTAAATATTGACAAGCAAAGGTTCATTAGGCGCGTACATCTTACAAAATATATTTAATTTCAGGCTACTAAGTAAATAACCTGTCGCAGCTACCAAATAATCTTTTCATCATTTCGCTTAATAACATATAATCACTTTTCAAGATAAGGCGCGAAAGTGACCCGAACCGAACCCTTAGGAGTACCGCTCGTCCTTGGGCCAAAACATATAAATTCCATCAAAATATCTCAAAAATTTAGGCTTGTGAGTTGAGCACAAGAATGCAAGGAGTACAGAGATGTACGCTTAGATCAATATGGGCCTATCTCAAGTCCTTTTGGATGTTGTATACATCCGCACAAACTTAATATACTCTTATACCTTAAGAGGTGTAGGGTAGAGAAATGCTTGTTTAGTTTCCCAACTTACTAAAATTTTTAACCTCAGTCAACGTGTTAAGTAATTGAAAATTCAAAATCCTTTCCTTAATTAGGAGCAGACATCTAATATCTAAGAAATCGATTATTCGCAGCACTTGGCGTAATGCGTTTTAATCTGACCTATAAATATTGCCAAGCTAAAACTGTGGCTCTATTAAAACTTCGATCTAGCGGTAAACCATATCGGATGAAATTTCATATGTACTTTTATACCTTTATACTCTTACGCTCTTGCATACGTAACCTTTTATACTTTTACTTTTGCGCTACTTACATAGCTGTATGCTTGTAAACTTATGTAATTATATATTTGTGTACTTATGTGTCAATATGATAGGCCATAATGAAAAGTCGGCGCGATTTTTCCCGCGGTTCGGGCTTATTTCGATAGCCTGCTCTTCTCAGATCATTCCAAACTGGCATGTGGCTGGGCCTTCGCTACTACTTCCTGGCAGCTTCTATGCCGATTTCGCTTCACCAATCGCAAAATTTCATCGAGTTTCATCGTCGACATCCAAATTTCCGAAACAGAATCAAGCAAACCACTCCTGGATCTATCGTTCACTCACAACATTCTCACTGTACACTTTAAAAATTTTTCTATTATCAGCATTTTTACCTTTTTCATAGTAAAAAAGCATCACATAGCGTATTACTTTAGATACATGACTCAATTTCAAATCAAAATAATCTTTTACACCAACAAAGGATTAGAAAACTATTTTCACAAAGCATGTAAGCTGAAATGTCACTTCTTAAATACATGTTCGTTCGAGACAATCAGGTGAGTGTTGTCCGATATATAGGCATCAGCACTATCCCGCGGAAAAAACCACAGACCTAAGACTTGTATACGTAATATTTTTCTATGCCTACATACTATTATACTCCTACACGTTTACTGTTTTCGATGTAAGCTTTGAATAAATTCATTTTTATCAACTTTTTGACTTTATACAAAAAAAAAAAAAAACAAAAAAAAGGCTTCTTTTAAGGATCAGTCTTATATAAACACTTTTCATGTCATATGAGCGAGCATATATTATAGTGCATACAATGAATTGCTCAAACATGCAAAGGATAATAATAAGATTCTATAGTTTTAAAAACAATAATTCGCACGCAAGTCTAGAATGGGTTGGCATACATGTATACTTTATTATCAAACAACGGAATTCCTAAAAGACAATTATTCCTTATTTGCGATGATAAGAGTTGCTTGATAATGCTTTTTTAAGGAGTTCCTCTTTTCGGTTAAGTCGTCTCTTTTGTTGTTTTAAAATATTAATCTTTTCGAAGTAGAAAATAATCCACAACTTTACAAATCGCTTTTTCCACATATATATATTAAATCCAAATTTTTTTGAAAATGAAAAAAAAAACAGAAAAAAATTAATTTGTACTTCAAGCGCGTTTTATTTTAAATCGTTATGTTGATAGCATTTATGAGAAGAGATTCTGTCATACGGTCCGTTTTTATTGTAGGTATATGTAACAAGACCCCACTCAAGAGAAACGCACTACCATCGTCTATTCACTCAATCGATTTAGAATAATTTCTGTTTGTATTCAACTTTTGAGCTATTTCGACGAAATTCGACTCAAAGACGAATCCAATTGAAAATCTCTTGAATCAAAACATTTTTAAGATCACTCCTAACATAACAGCGTATTGTGAAAAGATCGTTAAAAAGTTGCACATACTTAAAATTTTTCGACAAAAATCGCTGAAGCATGAAGATTTTGGTTTGGATGGTCCAATATTTTGAACCCTGTTCCATATAACCATTCTTAGGAAAGGTACGTCTGTAGCAAAATGTTTTCACATTTTATGATTAGAAATGAATCATACAACTACGTTAACAGAAAAACTAGTAAGAACATTATAGTCTACCATTAAATACCCTACACCACATTGTTTAACATAATTCTTAATCTGCATCAAATTATTATTATTTTGGTTAATTTTCATCACTACATATTAAAACTTAGACTTTTCTACTCTACAAAGAATCACTTTTTGTACAAATCCTTATTAGGGGAGGATCCAAAAAATAGGTCGACATGGTCTAAACTTTTTTTGTTTTAAATTATGACTTAATTTTCGTCAGGAAGCATTGAAAATTATACATTTTTGTCGTATTCGTTGTATGACAAGGAGTTCAAAAATTTCCCCAGCCGGTCCAAAGTTTTCCTACCAATTTGGAACGCCGAAATACTACTACTTAGCATAACATGGTACAAAAAGGATATGAAAGATTTCGAAAGAGTCCGAATTCAAATATTTACTTCTTTCATCTAATTCATGCTCATACAGAGAACTTAAGAAACTAGCGAAAATAAAGTTAACCTACCTCTACTGCCTCTCTACCTCTACTTATTTACTTCATTAGACTACTTAATATAATTAAAATTTAAAATTTTTCATTCGCGTTTCAATTGCTCCGTTAACAGCCCCAAATAATGTCCATATATATGTGCCCATATATATGGATAATTTCTTTAACCAAATATTCATATTTATATATATTCAAATGAATATATATATGTATGAATATATATGATATTTGATATGAATTGAATGAATACGAATATAAATATGAATATTCGGTTAAAGAAATTATTTGATTCAACACAAAGCAATAATCTACGAATATCAATGAATATTTTTAAGTAATGAATTCAAGAAATAAGCAATCGATGAATAATGTACAGCGATACTTTATATGTATATAATATACAGAAATGAAACAGCGATAATGATAATATAACACTTGGAAAATGTAATTGCTTTCGGTGTACATAAGATAATTTTGAACCTAATAATTTTGCACGTCATCCAAGCAAGTTGTACCATGACCATGCCTGGTTATGCAGAATGGTAATGCGCCGGCAACTACATTGCCGATGGATGAATTTGAATATTTCCATCCCAGATGTGATGTGTGTGCTGATAGTTTTAGAATTTTTTCCCATTCACGTATTCATTTTATTCCAAGAAGAACACGCTATTCCACGCAGAGCATTAATAAATAAATCAATTTTTTTTAATATACAAAAAAGAACAAGAAAAAGTTTCTGTATATAAACAACAAATTCTATAATCCATTCAAGAAAACGGTTATGTTGCTGGGAAAAAGAAGAAAAACTTTTTTTTGCAAGGAAGATTTAAAGTTTTAATTGGTGCAAAATTTGTCGAGTCCTAGAAGAGCAAACAACTTATATTCGACGAATTTTTAATAAATGATTGGAAAGCGAACTTTTTTCGCAAAGAAGTTATCACTCTTTCTTTATTCTAAAGAAAAAATCTCATTTCTCATAAAACCGTTTATATCGAAGTAGGTCCAAAATCGTAGATCTACTAAACGAAATCCAGCTTAGTTAGTCCAAAAAGATGTCACTATCACTAATTTAAACGAAATTTCATTCCAACTTATTAAACGTTAAAGCTTATAAAGACCAATTTATATGAGAGAGGACTCAAGGTTGCTCCTGTTCTATTTAAATTTTCGCCATTCCCCATTCGTTTTATATGCCGATAGTACGATATATATAAAAGTTGAAAGTTTTTTTTAGAAAGACGTTGCTGCTAAATAGGGTCCGATCCAATCCATTTTCTTGGGTCGAAACATGATGGCGTAAAAAGTTTTATACAAATTACAAGGACTAACATTCGGCAAACAGACGGACAGACGGACACCGATGGAGAAAATAGTTCGAGCTCGACAAGTTCTTCTAGATCCAGCACTCATCTGTAAAAATTGAAAATTTGATATATATGTATATATATATCAATGTCACTTTGTAATTATACTACGCGCGTATTCCTTTCCTACTTTTTTTTGTTTTTCAAATCTTTGCATTATAGGTGAGGGGAGAAGGAATTCTTCGACTGCTGCTTCCGACTCAGATGCCACCTATTAAACATCAATCGGTAGTTAGTTAGAATGACTCTTATTTGACTGTCATTGATGATAATCACTAATATAATATAAGAAAGAATCAGTAGAAGATGTTGATCTACATATAGATTTTTCCCTTACTTTAAATTCAAAATTGAATGATAGATTGAATTAATTGAATTTTGCTGAATAACATTTAAAATATTTAATAGATTCGAAGAGCTTACCTTTCCCATAAAACCAGTGCCTCCGGTTATGAATACACTGCGTCCCGCATAAAACTGTGGTATAGGTATATAATTTGCTTCATTGCTGCTTGAATAATCTTCAAAATTGGATTTTGAATTAAACTGCGTGCCCACATGACCATTCAGCATGGTCGTTGGCGTTGTTCCTGATGCTCGAGTGATTGTTGACGCTGATGATGCTAATGTCGGATTTATCGTTGCTATTGTGTTGGAAGCTGATGCTGATGACGTTGATGAGACCGCTATTGATGTCGCAATTGTGGGCGATTTTAATAGCGTTGGTGATATGACGTGATTGACATTCGAAATTTCGGACATATTGAATATTCGATTTTCTTTTCGTGGAAATTTTTCTACTGAAATTATTTAGAATCGTGAGCTTAGTTGTTGTTGTTGTTGTCGGTTTATTTTCTGCAGCAAATTACTTACACAATCCACCCGAATCGAAGAAGAATTATTTAAAAAACAAAAAAATAAGGAAGAAAAAATTTTTAAGAACACACAAACTTTCTTTTTCTACTTTTATTCGATTTTTTTTTAATTTTTTTTTTTTTTTTTTTTGTTTTTTTGTTTTGTTTCACTCTCTTATTTTGTCTTTTTCGAAAAGCGTTGAGCGTTAAATTTTTCAATTTATCGGAAATTCTTTTAATTTTTGTGACATTTATATTCCCGGACTATGCGATGGCTGTCTCGAAGCATGCAAAGTGTTCAATTATTCTAATAAAAAGGTTAAGCAGGGATTTCCTTTACAGAATTGTTCGCTTGCTTTTGAGGAAGAATTTCTAGAAGCAGTTTTGTTACAATATGTGCGCGATTTTTTTATTTTTATTTTTTTTATTTTAAATATTTCCTGGAATATATATATAAAAAAAAAAAAACCTACTGCTGTTTATCCTTCAAATTTAATTATTATTTCCTTAATTCATATTATCATTAATTAATGTATTTATATATATATATATATATATATATATATATACATATTTATATATATATATATATGTTGTTTTTCTATTTTCTTGTAGAACAGCCGTGGAAGTTAACGGAAGCGTTGAATTTTTTTTTATATTTTTGGTATATTATCAAAAAAAGGAAAAGAAAAAGTATTTAACACATTTTCCTCTGTGTTTTCGTCTATGTATTTCCTCGCTGTGGCTAGTCAGTGTTTTAGTGTCACTAATATTTCAAATATGTTTTTTGGTTTTTTTTTTACTATTTTCTTTTAATGATTATTGTTCTAAAAAAAAAAAAAAATAAAATAAAAATACTTTTCTCTATCAACTGCTTGAAAATGTTGTATTTTGTTTTGAGCTTATTTCCATTTTTAATTTTAATATGTCGGCGAATATTTTTTTTTTTTTTTTTGACAATCACAAACTAAACCAACAAGATGACCATATTTGCATGAAATGCTTTTCCTATAAAGAAGCAGAAAAAAATAAAAAAACATATTATATTTTGTTATATATTTTTGATGATAATTTTTAATCAATATAGCATTTTATACACACATAAAAACCATTTCCAGATACAAAAAGCATACATAATGTCTGTTGTTATTTTCTTTCGCTTTTGCCTCACTTACTTAACTTAAAGCAGATACAACCAGCCAAGGTCAATAGAATTTTGCTAAATTTATTTAAAAGTTTTTTATACATTTTTCATACAATTATCATCCCAAAGGATTTATAAATTTTTGATATGAATAACATGCATGCATGCAACGCACATAGAATGATTCTCTGACTCTGACATCACATAAATTGATTTAGTAATTTTTTTGTTTCTTTTTTTTTTTTCTTTTGTATAACATTCTAACAAAAGGAAAGTTTTAAAACGTAAAATTAAATCCAGTGGAATCATGTCTATGCCTTCCCATTGAAAAAGTGGAGAAAGCCAAGTCCGTAAATTTCTTTCCCCTTCTTTCAATCATTTAATCTGGAAATTTATTGAAAAATTTCACCAGAACGTCTTCTATACTTCTCTGCTCGTTATATGCCTTATCTTTACTCCTTTATCGATAAATTGCACAATTTGCGCGCTTTAAGAGTATGTGACACACGCAAATCCAATTTCGAAAAGGAGGGACGTCGTATGGTATATGCAAACAGTTTTTATAGGAATGATTCATTTTTTTTTTAACAGCTATGGGGAACTATTTGTTCTAATTTCTTGTCAAATTTGGAATTGACTATGATAAGCGAAAAATTCGAATTGACTTATTTAATTATTTGATCGTAAATTTTACTGTCACAGCAAATCGCGAGAAACAAAGAATGAAGAGAGAAAGTGGTAAGCACATAAAAAAGTCTCATTCTGATCCTTGGTTTATTCACGAAGAATATATTTTTCAAAAAAACTTGTTATGCCATACAGTGCGAGAAATTCGTGGAACATTTTTAAGATAAATTGAAAGAATTAAACGAAATGTGCTTTCGTCAGTGAACTGGGACAATGCGAAGTTTATATCTTCAACATCCATATATCCTTTTTACTTGGTATAACCAGCTGGAAAGAGTGCAAATTATTCTTACACACAGAAATATCTGCTAGTTATAGGTATGTTTCTCAATGGATGCTAGATTTAATCTATCGAGTTTAAATTACTTATATTAAATAAGCAAAGTTTTTTTAAAAAAGGCTGGCAACTCAAGTTTTATATCCAACACATCTGTGGTACAAGAGTATATTAAGTTAGACCCATCTTTTGTTATGCCAATCATTTTCTGAATCGATTCAAACTTGCTTGTCCATCTATCTGCTTTATATTTCGTCCCAAAGACGAAAGCCATTGAAGATGGTTCGAATCGGATTACTTTCTTGATCACTTATCACGGCTTATTTTGAAACACTTGATACATGGATAACTTTAGGATGATGTAGGGTATTTAAGAGTAGGCCTCGCCCAATTATAATGTTTTTACTTGTTATGAATAATTTCAATAATTTCCTTACCGACCAAGCATTTATTACTATCTAGCAAAAAACAGTCTGAGAAACCCTCCCAAACTCCTTCTTAAAATGTTCTCTAATTAAAAAAAAAAACAAAAACAAAATATGACATCTAATATATTTTATTTATTTATTTATTAAATAATTTTACAAAGTATGGATTTAAAGACAGTCGGATAACTTAGATAATATTGCTCGCCTCTATTGAAAACTCCATCGTACTTGAGATTTGTGTTGTTAGTCGAGATCCTTGCCCAAATTGAGACACTTTTCGCTCATCTTTACTCGTGGTTCTAAGTCTGACGTTGTAAGCAGCGTTCTCTGGTTTCCAAATATAAACATCGAAACTTCTTTCTCAAAGCAACCATGCAGCTCTACATCATTGGATGAATGTCTTGCAAATCCCTCCATTAGCTCAGCTCATTTACAGATAAAATGCCGTACCGTGTCAGACAACAAGTCTGTCTCAACTAATTCCTAATGGCTTCCCTCACATAAAACTCCTCCGCGTATGCTAGAAATTAGATCTGTACTATCCTAAATTTGAGACGTTCTGTTTTCATTTTCTCTGGTCCCAGGAGAATACCATGGGAATACCCCTGTACATAATATTGCATATTCGACACCAACACTGTATTAACGATCGCCCTCTGATTTCTGCTGACTTGAGGACAATCGACTAGAAGTACCTTAGCAACAGCGCTGAAATAATTTAATGCATAGTTGCCACTTATACCCTTTACATCCGCAAAATAAATACAACACCGGACGAAAAGGAGCGTTACGTGCCTTATTAACTGCTGAACCGCACAAAATGCAATGATCACCCGTACAAAATTAACATAGTGAATAGTCCTTTACGTACACCCGGGGTCTCGCAATCTCTCGATCATATCCTTTTTGTCTGCCCGAATGTGGCTACGTATATTCACAATTCCAAGCTTCGCAAATTATGTTTGTGTGTTGTCTTCACGACCGCAGCGTTTTGGGCATTTTGCGCTCAGGCAATTTGATGGATTAATCAAAACAAACCACATATACATTTACTCGTTCTCACATACTCTTTTACCTTGCAACATTTCGGCTCTTTCATAAAACACCCACATACGAACACTTGTACTCCGGCATATTCCACACTATGAAAATCACTTTGCGCTTTATCATCGCGAAATCATTTACATATCACGTTAAATGACGAGAAAATAAAATAAGATAACTAATTGAACCTTGGGATAGATCACTTCCCGTAAAATGATTACAGTTACGTAGCGGATGTCGTAATACGCAAAATATATATATACATATTGATAATCAAGCTAACTGCCGACTTATAGAACTTCGTGTTCACATTAAATCTTTTTTACTCAACTCAGTAAATCATGGTTGATTTTGCTGACTCTCAGAAGAAGACGAAAAAGAAAATATAATATATACTTGGCCTATGGCGTGCACATACCTTTCTTACTTTTTGCTATTTATAAAAGGTATTTTTTTAAAGTTTTATTTATTTACGATATTCCTCTTCAAAATGCAAGGCTGCAAAAATACGCATATTGTATAGTCGCACAATTCCAAAAATAATTATTGTTAGTAAATGTATGCATACATTATGTATATGCAGATCGAAATGTTTCAGATAAGAAAGAACCACTAGTTGAGCAAAAAATATATATTAAGCGTGAGCGGATGCCTACAATATTCAGGAGGACATTATATATAATCCATGCTTTTTTCTCAAGTAATTTAGGCAGGTCTGTCCATCTGTCCATCAGATAATTTTCGTTGTACTTTTGTCTGTTTAATGCACAAGTCATACATTTTTTGAAATATTCTGATGATATTTGTCGTAGCACTTTTAGGTTAAACTTACAAGTCACACTGACATATTTCGGCTAAAACACAAACGCTATAAGATATGAATTGAATCGGACCATTTTAGGACCGGTGTCGCTTTAAGAAAAATGTTGCAATTTTTAATATTGCTCGACAAAAATGGGTAAAAAATAGTATTAATAAGTGGATTTAGGAAACTTGAGTTAAACCTTCTTCCACATAAGGTTTCCTAATAAAAATTATCCCTCGCCTTCCCTTGCATGACAACAAGATCTAATTTGTAATATTTTGCGATGAAAATTCAATTGATTTGATATCTGAATTTGCAGTGCCAAGTGTGATCCACGGTAAGTAGGTCCATTTTTAATGAATGATGCTCACGCAAGCCAGATTTCTATATAGGAAGAACTCGGTGTAGTCTTTAATATTTTGTGACGCAGAATAATGAAAAAGTGTTTTGGCTGAAGTGGTAGGAGTAGGTGTATAACATCCCGCGTTGCCCGATTGCAGCATTTAAATTCCCACCGCAGTGGGTATTTATCAATCTCGACGATTAATTAAATGCCGCCAAATATTCACGAGCATTTTGCAATTACAGCACATTTTAAAGGAAGAGAACTGCGGTGACTAATATTTAAACGCTTAGAATAATTTGTGCATTTCAAGCTTTAACAAAGCGCTTTGGGATGACAACGAACGGATTACGAAAAGATTTCATTTTTAACAAGCATTAAACATTACTTCTTAATGTGCATGAATTTATTTTAAAACTTGTTATGAAAACTGTTATATAAATTTTCAGTTTAGGCAAATGCTCAGCAGACGTTATAGATTCTGGCAAAGGTGTTGCCAGTAATAGCAGCGTCACTTGGGATGACATGCATAATAAATCACCGACTACGGAAGCGTTGATAACTGTGCCAATTTACTGTTAATCTTTGACATTGAAATGAATTAATTGTTAAAGCAATATGCTTAAGAAACCCCAAAAAGAAACTTAACTGCCAAGGTCTTGTTAGTCGACGAAGTCAATACTATTGCATATTGTTTCAAGGTCGTTTTGCAAATTCATAGTTTTTCTTATATGTTTTTTTCCTTTTAATACTTTTCCAGAGTATAAAAATTCAAACTTGATTTACAAAGCTAGTACGAACATACACCTGTAACTTGTGCCTCTTAATACTTTCTTAAGTATTTTGTTGATGTGTATGCTGACCTTTTAAATCAATCCCTTTTACAAGCATTCCATTCTTTTTCTTTTTGTTTTTTTTTTTTTCGATTTATTCATAACAGTACATAGCCTAAAACCTTTGTCTGCTGTCCAAATGTTAAGAAAAACAATACCATGTTTTACATATACATTTAGGGTACTTGTAATACCATCTAAGGACCGCTGAAGCACTTTCACTTGAACTAAACTTGGCTTTGATTTTTGCACGTGATTTCTTTGCCCATATGTCTGCACCCACACACACACACACACACACACACACGTATACAATCACATTTATTTTGGTTAAGGTGCGCTAGACTATTTAATACCATTATATTATTTATCTATCTACAAGCAGATGTAAGCATATTGATTTCGACGCTCAGCTTGTAAATGCTGTTATCATTCCGCGTTTGAGAC